CGTCAGAATCTGGAAATACGATAGGTTAGGTTTACGGCCCCGAAGGCAGGAACTGAAAATTAGTCAAATAAAACACAGATTTCTCCTCAAATTAATCCCCAAACACACCTGAGTCCTCCATGCTGCGGATGACAACCACAGTCGTACAAGAACCGAGTGGTAAAAGAAACACAGCTCCGCGAAGTCATACTCTCTAAATGTCTTACCATGAAATTTGACCTATGTTACTCGTATGTAACAGGGAATTCAGCGCAAGCATAATACGAAGCAATATTCCTTCGTAATACGAATCTCTTTACCTTTTCATTGTAAGATACGAAGAAAAACCACCTTCGTATTATGCTTGCGCCATTTCCTTCGTAATATGGGAAATTTCTTCAAAAGACATTTAGTGTTTAGGCTAAGACAGCGACGCGTGCGTCACAATGTAAACAAAGGGGGTACGGTACGGCTACCGGCAGAATGCAGGCAGGGGTTGATGATGGGAGAGGGAGGGGGAGGTGGTGAAGAGAAGACCGGAAGGACCAGGGGCAGTGGAGTCAGGGAGGGGGAAGCGGCTGGGCCAGCGAACGCACGGAGTGCCTTTGTTTGTGGCGGCAGCGGCTTGCGTCAGGGGCGAGATAGGCCACCAGTCGGACACGCAAGTGTTGCGGTACGTCATCATCATCAAGGGCTGGACCACATATGATCGTATGCCATTTCGGGCCCGACACATGCCCGCCTGCACTGCAAAACGGAACATGGTCGTCCTTACTAAGGTGACACTTTACCTCGGCGGAGCGAACCTCAGCGGCTGCACGCTCCGGCTCGCAGTACACTGTTAAAAAAAATTACTGAAAATTCATAATTTTTTGTAAGAAGTCGATTTACTTACATTCAGTCTGAATTTTCATACCAAAACTTTCATACATCGCGGTCTGAAAGTTTCAGACGACGTTAGTCTGAATTTTCAGATCAACATGTTGTATGAAAAATGATGCCAGTCGGTCTATTTTATCAGACTAAGTTGTACGAAGACGTTGAACAGTCGCACTAAAAAATGCCACTCTGTACAGTAGGACACTAATCGGCGAACTTTTGCCATCGGTTTATCGTAGACGCTCCGCGGATCGTCTCGGCTCAAAAATTAGGTACACGGCAGTAGACTCCTACTTGCAAAGGTAGTGAAGATGCTAGAGGTGACTGCTGAATAGCGAGGGAGAGCGGCCTTAGCCCAACCACGCGCCGACCCGTGGCCATGCGCGAGAGTGAAATTGTATTCTTTGTTATTTAGCTTATACTGCACTTATTAACCTGAATCTTGCTTTGGTGCGCTCATGCCCTTTCAGACAATCACTTGGAATAAGTTTGTAACAAAATATTCGCAATTTCGCCTTCAAGTGGCAATTTTAGCTCCAAAAGATCATCCATGCGACACTAGCGCCACCTAGCGGATAGAGCTATAAGTGTCCATTTCGGAGCTCTGAAACATTCTCTATGCTTTTACGACACTAAACGTAAATATTATTTGAAATACAACAGTAGTATTGATAAAAGTTCTGAGAAAATCGAAAAATGTACAAAGGGGACGGGGTTTTTTCACTCGTTTTCCGATTTCACAAGTATGAATTTAGTTTTCGGACGACAATGTACAAAACTTAATAGCCATCGCTCTAAATATTCAGACTTGCTAGTCTAAATTCAAATTTCAGACAACAGGTCAAACTTTTCAGACAGTTGATCTTAATATTCGTACCATTTTATGAATTTACGATTCAGACCACCAAGTAAGACGAAATCAGTCTGAATTTTCATATTTTTTGGGGGGTTGGGGGCCTATGCTCCCCCGAAGGGGGTCGCATAGACCTCCGCCCCGGAGCAGCCCCTTGAGCACTACCGAGTCCGGTGCCCCCCTGCTTCGTCCCATAGGTCTTGGGAACCAGAAGGGTTGCTCCTTTGTCTTCTTTCTTGCTGTGCCCTTGCAGTCTGTCTTGGTTGCTGGCTTCGCCCTTTCCCCCCTCTCTTCGCGCGACCCTGGGTACGGCTTAGCCTACCTGGAAGGCGCTAAAAGGGCACGCTAGGAAACACCAGCCGGCGCACAAGGCCAGCGTCACTGGAACTCACCGCCCAATGCCTCAGAATGAAAAGCCCAGCAAAATCGCACAACTTATAGGCCGAAAAAAAAAATTGCCTGACTTTGAAGTGGAATATCTCCGGAACGGTTCGTCGGAAAAATCTGGGGTTGTGATTTTTGGATTCAGCGGACCTTTCTGCGTGAGATAAGACCAGTTTCAAAAAGATCGGGCACTTTTAACTGCAAAATCCCAAGATTTGGGACTTTTTATGTAATTTTTAAAGAAAAAGTGAGTTTTCCCCATGAAAAAATTATTTTAAGTCAAATCTGACGGCACGATCGTGTTCCCCGTTCAATTTTGAAGCTAGAACCCGAATCTGAAACCAATCGGACAAAAAGTCCCTGAGATATAAGAAATACCCAAAATTAGTGTAAAAATACCCAAAATAACTTAAAATCCCAATAACTCCCAGATAAAATTTTTTTGAGGTCTGAAATTTTGGCCATGAACTCCCACCATGGGGGACTACTTACCACCAAAAAATCAGCGAAATCCAAGGGGGTCGTTGTAAGGTCCTGCTTTTCTTAAATAAACGTGCTCTACCCTTATTTTTCCAATGAGGGCGATGGTACTGGTATGTTGGCGTGTTTTTCTTTTCGTTTCATCATTAATCAAAGGAAAGCAGCACACAGCGCAAATGCGTTCAACACATTAAAAAACACACTTTTGGAGTTTCGGATATCGATGGGGCCCGATGGGGCGGAGTTATTGGTGGGAGGCGCTTCCCTTGCATGTATATTAAGATGCCCCGATGATAACTTTTCCGCACTCGTCCGCAACACGAAACGCAAGGGGACCAACACCAGAAAAACGTGCCAAATTGATTAGTTTTGGGGATAATCGCTTCTGGTGTGCACCATTCAAAATAAAAAAACATCAGTGCAATTGCTTTTCTTTTCAAATATTTTGTTTTTCTTAGTCACAAAATGGTTTAATGCGGCTTAAAAGTTAAAACTAAGTATTTTGAGCATTTTTTAGTTTTGCACTTTTTGTCAATTCTGTCATTTTTCTTCTAATTTTGCTATTTTTCTCATTATTTAAGCATTATAAATCCAATTCTTATCGGACCACCTTTTCCTTTGAACTGGTCTTTGCCTATTTCCTACAGATGATTCAGTTCAATTCTGGTAGCTTTTGGTCGCACGGGACGCTTGCTAGGACTTATTCCCCCGAAAATCGCATTTTAAACCACTGTGTGCTGTGTGAACTGTTGTCATCTGCAGTCACCTTTCAAATGTTGCCTGTCCATGATGAGGCGTTCCCAAAGCTCCAAGACTGTGTACAGTGTTGGTGCCTCTTGACCACACAAAGCCACTAGAAGTTCAGACAGACGCCAGTCAAGACGACAGTATTGCTTCAGGTTGATAAATAATTAGCTTGAGCATCACGAAAGCTAACGAAGTACGAGACTCGTACTACGAGTGCAAGTATGTTCAAATTGAAAAGGAGGTCGTGGGTCTTTATTTTGGGGCTGACAGATTCAAACCATTTAGCCTATTTGGCTGTGCGATAGCGAAGCCCGTTATTCCAATGTGGTTGAAAAACTTTGTCTGCGTGTGTACACTACTCCTCCTGAACGCACAGTGGGTCAAAATGGCCAAAAGTGCGAAAAAATATTTTATTATTGAAATCGACTCAGTTCGACCCCAAAAGACTACCGTAGGCCGGGGTAATATGAGACAATTTCGGGGTAATATGAGACGCATGATTTTTATCGTAAGAATTATAATGCTCGTGGCATTTGATGACTCATCCCTGTCAAACTTCACGGCGAAAAATTGTACCAACAAAGAGTAATTAATTTTTTACAGCAGTGGCTCTCTTTGTGGCCGAATAGCGAGCTCAGAGTGAATCTTACGTAAACAAAACTCCGTCTCATATTGCCCCGAAATTGACTCATATTACCCCGGCTTACGGTACCAACCAAGTATTTTGAGGTTTGGGCCAAAAATAGCGATGTAGGGGGTCAAAATCGAAAGCTACTATCCCCGCACGCTCCAGACGAGGTCAGATTCGGATTCCTCGCTAAAAATTGGTCCAGAATCACAATGAAAAAAACTTTACTTTTTCAAAAACAAAAAATTGATGAGTCAAAATCGAAAGTTACTATCCCCGCATGCTTTAGAATCGAATTCAGCGTCAAAAAGTAATTCAGAATCACTTGGAAAAAACTTAACTTTTTTGATGCAAAATATTTATTGGTCAAAATTGGTCAAAATCAAAAATTACTATCTCCGCATGCTTTAGGCGAGGTCAGATTCGGATTCCCCGTTATAAAATGATTCGGAATTACTTTTTAACGAGGAATCCGAATTTGACCTCGTCTAAAGCATGCGGGGATAGTAAATTTCGATTTTGACCAATTTTGACCCATAAATATTTTGCATCAAAAAAGTTAAGTTTTTTCCAAGTGATTCCGAATCAGTTTTTAGAGAGGAATCCGAATCTGACCTCGCCTAAAGCATGCGGGGATAGTAATTTTCGATTTTGACTAATTTTTCGATTTTGACAAAATTTATAAGTGAAGGTGAAGGACCTGAAGCTGGTGGAGGGGGACGTTCTAGGTTGGCATTGCTGCAACCTGCGAATAGTCTGATTCCTCGCAGCTCACCCCCACCATCGTTCACCCTTCACTCTCATAAATATATGTGCTGGATAACAAACGCTCTTACTCTAACACCACTGTGTACCCTTTATTCACCTCTCTCCGACTGCAACAGCGTCTATTTATCTACACAGTTCCTTGACATAAGGACCTCACATAAAGTTTCCTGCTGTATCTAACCTTTTTACTTGCTGAGGCGAGAAATAGAGGAGACGTTGAGTTTTTCTCTTCGGTGTTTTGAAGCAAAGGTTAACACGCCTTTCGTAATCAAGCAAGAAATGTTGACAGCTGTGTTTGTCACTTTATTATTGTCTTATAAAACCGCGGTACTGAAACCGGAGCCACTGTTGTGACCATACCTGTAATTCTAGAAATATCATGTATTGTTACGAATGTGAATTTTGTCACATTCGTTTGCACGTGACACATTTGCTTGAACGTGGATCAACATTTCAAAGAATGTGGCATCATATTTTTAACGGGCGTGACAAAATTAACATGAAAACGAAGTCACACTCGTTTAATAAAAGTGATGTTGGCGCTATAAACAATTTGGAGCAGTCAGGTACCAAGTCAAAGTTAAAAGTCTAATCTGTTTACAGCAGCAGCCACAGCTAGGTCGACCTTCTTGAGCTTGCCGTTGATGGTCTCGGAAACTTTGCCCGGTCCGTAGACGAACTTGGCCATGGCGTCGATGTACGTGTTGTAGCTGTGGAAACGAGCAATCCTGTCGACGGCCTTAGCAGCAGTGTCGAATGTATCCTAAACATCAGAAATGCAAAAGGGTAAGTATCAGTCAACGCAGTTCCGAGGGGGCCACCACCCCCGTAGTCCTGTGTACAAATTGGCCGGTATCTCCGATAATCCATGCCGTAATCACGAATTCCTTGACAAAATTCTGTCATTTTTCGACGTTTTTGAGCCATTTTTCAACGTTTCGGAACCACGTTTCCAAAATTTCACGCGTAATCCCTAGTACGTTTCCCGTAATCTTGTGTTCGCCTGAAAAGAGAGTGGTGGCCCCCTCACACAGTTCACGTATAGAGGTGAACAGAAGAAATGGCCGCAAAGCGATTTTTCAACAATTGCAAACCATTTGCACTATCAAGCACCGCCTACTTATAAGAAGTTTTTAGAAATTCCTGCCAGCACGTTACAGTTTCGGGGTCTACGTTTAGTGATAGAATTTTATCTTAAAAGTATCTGCAAGGTACCTTGACCGTCGCAAATTTCTTTTATCTCTGCAAATATCAAGTGACTTCAGTCCAATTAGCTTTATTCCCTTCTGCCTTTTTGAACGTATAGTGTCGCACGACTTTGTACCTCTTTTAGGCCTGCGTATATTTTGGCACGCGATCACACGAATGTTTGTGATTCCGCGCGTTCAAATTGAACGTTCAAGTTCGCAGTTTCAAAATAGTGAGAGAGCGTGTACTATATTGCACCTCTCAATTTAGCGTCTACTACAATAGTACAGAAATTATTGATCGATTTTTGTTGCACATCTCACGGAGGAACATATCTCACCTCAATGACGTCATCCGCCACAGCCTTCGCGAAGGAAGCATATCGTGTGTAATCCGCAAGGATCTCAGCTAAAACGTCAGCAGCGGCATCGAGGGGATCAGCCTACAGGGAACAGAAATAGCCAGTGGGTACCGTTAATGTGAACACTCATGCTGTACGTACAAAAACCCAGGGGTTATTCTTACCGCAGTTGATCGCTTCTTACGGTTGTTCACGGGAGCTTCCGTGGGAGCCTCGGTAGGGGTCTCGGTAGGAGCGTCAGTGGGAGCTTCGGTGGGGGCATCAGTGGGAGCCTGGGTAGGAGCTTCGGTAGGGGCCTCGGTGGGGGCTTCGGTTGGAGCATCGGTGGGAGCCTGGGTAGGGGCTTCAGTGGGAGCCTCGGTCGGAGCCTGGGTAGGTGCTTCAGTGGGAGCCTCAGTCGGAGCCTGAGTAGGGGCTTCAGTGGGAGCATCGGTGGGAGCCTGGGTAGGGGCTTCAGTGGGAGCCTCGGTCGGAGCCTGAGTAGGGGCTTCAGTGGGAGCCTCGGTGGGAGCCTGGGTAGGGGCTTCAGTGGGAGGCTCGGTGGGAGCCTGGGTAGGGGCTTCAGTAGGAGCCTGAGTAGGGGCTTCAGTGGGAGCCTCGGTCGGAGCTTGAGTAGGGGCTTCAGTGGGAGCCTGAGTAGGGGCTTCAGTGGGAGCCTCGGTGGGAGCCTGGGTAGGGGCTTCAGTGGGAGGCTCGGTGGGAGCCTGGGTAGGGGCTTCAGTAGGAGCCTGAGTAGGGGCTTCAGTGGGAGCCTCGGTAGGGGCTTCAGTGGGAGCCTCGGTCGGAGCTTGAGTAGGGGCTTCAGTGGGAGCCTCAGTGGGAGCCTGGGTAGGGGCTTCAGTGGGAGCCTCGGTGGGAGCCTGGGTAGGGGCTTCAGTGGGAGCCTCGGTTGGAGCTTGAGTAGGGGCTTCAGTGGGAGCTTCGGTCGGAGCTTGAGTAGGGGCTTCAGTGGGAGCCTCGGTTGGAGCTTGAGTAGGGGCTTCAGTGGGAGCTTCGGTCGGAGCTTGAGTAGGGGCTTCAGTGGGAGCCTCGGTCGGAGCCACAGTTGTGGCTGCAGCGTTGGCCTGTTGTGCTGCTTCGGCGGCTGCCGAGGCGTTTAGCGCTGCCTGCGCTGCCTGGTCCACCACACTCTTCCAATCCTGAATCTGGTCTGCGAGTCTCGTTACTCTTATCTTGGAAGACACGATGGAGCGATCCAGAATCGAGTTGAACGCCTGTGGGCGGAACAAACGTATCATAAAAGTCATGCGTTTCAAGTTTAGCCGTGTTGTCGCGATGCACACAGTTAGCCTTTTATTGACTTAACGCCAGAAACAGATTACCATAAAGCCTATAAAAATATGTACTATTTCCTTCATCGATACAAACAATTTACTCCAAAAAAAAAATATTTACATTTTTTGTCATTGAGTGCTAACAAAAATGCAGGTAATAAGAGCAAAAGGGAAACGTACTTCGTACTTGTCACTGTTGCTCTTAAAACCAGAGGTACTATCAACAAAATGTCAATACTATGTGCTAAAAGTCAATGGCGAGCCCGACAGTGTACGTTTAGTTCGGGCCGCGATTTTTTTGACGTGAAACGTCCCAACATTGCACTGGGACAAATTTCTTTAAAAAAGTTGTCGGTGACGAGAAAGGCATAGTTTCCGAACTGCTGATAGTTGGCTAAAGAATTGAACAGAGGTGACTTACCGCTGCGGCGGAGGCGCCGAGGCGTCCCATCTTTTGAATTTCGGCGTTCACCTCGAAGCGCGGCAGCGGACGCCTCTTCGCCTTGTTGGCGTGCTGTCGCAGCTCATCGGCGGCGCCCTGGAAGGATCCCTTGATGCTCCAGCCGGCGGCGTTCGTCGCCTGGTGCACTCCGACTAAAACGTTCTTGCCCACGGCACGGACTTGACCGCCTGCAAGGAAACAGAAGCGGAACGATGGCGTAAAATGTATACTGGGCTGGCATTCGTATTAATTGAACTAGTTGGAACTGCAGTTGAAAAATGTATACTGGGCTGACATTCGTATTAATTGAACTAGTTGGAACTGCAGTTGGATCTGGCAACAAAAATGCAGTTGAAGGGCACTTCAAATGCAATTTAAGGGCAGTAAAGAACTGCAGAAAGGAACTGCAGATGAGCCACTGCAGTTTCAAATAGTTTGACTACTGATCCTTTCGCGCGGGAGAGATCGAGCGGAACTTCGAAGGGGGACCACAATTATTGGCTGAGCGATAGCGAAGCCTGTTACTCCATTGGGGTTGAAAAGTTTTTCCTGTCTGTCTGTCCGTCTGTCTGTCTGTGTGTCCGCACTACTCCTCCTGAACGGCTCGGCCGATCTCGGTGAGATTTTGCATACTTTTTAGGCATGTCCTTGGCTCGGCACACGCGAAATTTCACTATCCTAGCTCAACTGGTTCAGTTTTTATAGCCAAAAAACACCTAAAAAACGGCGAAAAATCGAGTTTTCTGCAGGCAGATCACTTCTGTCTTGAAGAAGGGGGGTCTGGGGGCGGAGCCCCCCAGCCCCGACAAGTTAAAAAATTACAAGGGATCTAGAATGAAAAGGGGGTCTGGGCGGCGGAGCTGGGGGGCTCCAAGTTCAAGTTCATGCATCAAGTTAGAAGAAACCGACGATGGACAAGCCATTGCCTGCCGAAGGCAGGCTAGCGCCGCAGGCCAAGGTAGGCACACCAGGCGCGGATTGGAGGAACAGGCAGCGAGACATCGCGAAGCCTGTTACGACAAGACGCGGTCTGGCGTAAACCTACCTTGTAGCTCATGAGCCAATTGAGATGAATCACCACTTCAGGCACTCCTCGCTGGTCCCTATTTAAGAGGCCTCATTGAACCGTTTCCGCGAAAAAGATCTTATCTGGTCATGCCCGCCGAGATCCCAAACGCCGTGAACAAGGCACGTATGGGGCAAAGCGTCGAGACATTGCGCAATGCCTGCAATCACTGGTAGCCAACGAATGTGACGTCATATTCGTTGGAGTGTAAATTTTGTCACGTTCGTTTGAACATGATGTCACATTCGTTTCAACGTGACTTAGCCGACAAAGTAGGGTGTCACACTCTACAAATCGAAGAGTGTACATGGTATGCTCTAACTGGAGCATGCCTGCAAGCACGCTCTAGCTAGCGCATGCCTGCCAGGCATGCACTAACTACACTGTGGCAAAAAGGTACGGAAAATTCTGTTAATTTTTTTGCCAGGATTCTCCGTAGCCCTCTTATCAATATTCTCCGTAGGCTCTTACAGAATTCTCCGTAGGGCCGTACAGTATTCTCTGTTAGTCCGCACAGTCTTCTCCGTAGGACCTGGAAGACTGTATAGTCCTACGGAGATCACTGTAAGGTCCCACGGAGAATACTGTGCTGTCCTACGGAAAATACTGTAAGAGCCTACGGAGAATTTTGATAAGGGGGCTACGGAGAATTACCACAAGCTGTTTACAGAATTTTCCGTAGCTTTTTGCCACAGTGTAGTGCATACATGCCATGTACACGCTAACTGAAGCATGCATCTAGTGCATTAGAGATAGGGAGTTGTCTGCATCAGGAAGCGTGTACATGGCATGTATGCGCTAGTAAGTGCATGCTTGGCAGGCATGCGCTAGTTAGAGCGTGCTTGCAGGCATGCTCCAGTTAGAGCGTACCATGTACACTCTTCGATTTGTAGAGCATTCGTTTGAACGTGTATCAACATTTAAACGAATATGACATCATATTCAAACGAACTTGACAAAAGTCACATCCGAACGAACATGACGTCACATTCGTTGGCTACCAGTGATGACTTAGCAACATTGCACCATCCGTGCGATGCGTCCCAAAATTGCCCTGTGCCAGTGCTGGCTGATGCATTAGAAGGCATTGCACGTGAATTGACGTTGAACCCATTCTCAGTGCGGGAAAACACACAAGAAGTACGAAATAGTCATGGAAAGGTCATGGTAACGTGCTATTGAGACAACATGTAACTCGCTGGATACTGCACACATTTCTCACGAAGTATTCTACAAAAATATTCGTTAAAATTCGTTAACAAGGCGTCTAAAAATACTGCCACAACCGTTCAAGTAGAAGTAGATTAAAGTGCTTGTAACACGTAGTAATACTGGAAAATTTGGTAGAATTCTAGTATAATTAACTTGTGCCAACTAGGATCAATGTAGTTTAATGGCCTACACTGTTTTCAGAGGCAGGTGAAACAGATTCCTATTTCCTAACACCGTTCAGTTTTCTTTGACGCTTCACTTCTCACACTAAGAAAACCTTACTAACTATTCCAGGCCTTACAAAGCAGCTCGTTATAACAAAGCTAGGCGCACACTTCTTTTCAACATGCCTGGCAGGTACACACTTTTTTGGCCCGTCCCGTTCATTTTTTGTAAAAAAAAAAATGACGGGCCTAGTATGATCCCTGCTGTGCGTCCGTCCGTCCGTCCGTCCGTCCGCCCGTCCGTTCGTCCGAGGACTTCCCGTGGTCCGATCTTGACCAAATTTGGTATGCAGCCTTCTTGGGTGACCCTAAGAACCGCCCGGTGGCAGCAAATCCGATCCGAGCCCCGGGGGCGCTGCTGCAGGTGCATCATGGTCTACATGGGGTCGAGGAGGATATCGGCAACGGATGCAGCTAGGAGGGCATGTAGGGGTATTTTTGGAATCGGGGCGACGAGAAAAAAACAATGGTGCCAGTTTCGAACGAATCGGAGAAGTTTGGACCCGGGTTCAAATGCCAGCGGGGTATTTTTTGAACATTCTTAATTCCGTCGGGGTCAAACATAGGTGAAATTCGTACGTTTCTTAATGTACGGGACGGGCCAAAGTTGCCGATGTATATCGCTACTTTTCCTGTTATTGCTGAATGCTTCAGGCACACACTTTATTTGCTCGTATGCATGCATTAGCGACGGCAAGTGTGTGCCTGAGGCATGCACCAAGAAGTGCATGCCTTGGGTTTGACTCTATGTAGTGCGTGCTTGGCACACATTTGAGATTGCAGAGATGCTCAAAATACTTCGTAACGTTTTGAGCGTGGACTTACCAGTAGCATTGACAGCGATGCTCTTTGCGAGTTCAGCCTGTTCCAAAGCATCCTGGCTAGCCAGAGTGGCCCTGTCGGTAGCGTTCTGTGCGGCAGCCAGGTCGCCGATGGCCGCGGCCTGCAGAACGTCCTCAAGGGCCTGCTCGGCCTGGACCTTGGCCTCCACAGCCTGCCGCAGTGCCTCGGCGATGTCGTTGCTAACATCATGTCGAGGATGGGGACTCTCTAGTTGTCGTGGAGGATGGGCAAGAGCCACCTGGGGAGATTCAGAGAGTGTATGTTGTTTACCCCTTGCTTTTGAGTAATTTCGAGACCTGAGACCAATATGGATTTTTTTCTCTCTTGCTTATAACGTTTTTTTGAGCAAACGTAAAATTTACTCTTTTCTGTTTAACTTTGCACAATTTTTATCGTTTTAAAGCTACAATTTTCAATAGGTCATGTAGAAATTGGAAAGTACATTGCAAATGACAAAAAGTCAGGTTTAAGGGACTAAATACACAATGAACAAATTAGTGCATGGCTAAAGATAAAATAGTACATATTACATTTGCACAAATAACTTTTTGGCAAGAGATAAAAAGTCAGTACGTACAAGACAGAGTTGGAGAAAATTTTTGTACGCCGTTATTTCACATTCACGGTCTTTCGACGCTACTTCTCTGCAAACGCAAGTGTGTGCCAGGCATGCACTTGTTGGTGCATGCCTGCAGAGGCACGCACTTGTTGGTGCATGCCTGCAGGCACTCACTTCCTGGTGCATGCCTGGCAGGCACACACTTCCTGATGCATGCCTCAGGCACACACTTGCTTGCATGCATAAGCGACGGTAAGTGTGTGCCTGAGGCATGCATCAGGAAGTGTGTGCCTGCAGGCATGCACCAAGAACTGCATGCCTGGCACACAATGGGTTTGCAGCGTTCACGTTGCGATCTCGGCGTTATTTCAGCGTTTCACGTCATTTCAAGAGAAACGTGCACCAAAATTCAAGTGTTTCCCCCTCGCTCAAAAGCGTAGGCAGAGCGAGGCAGGGAATGAAGAATGGTTTAAATGGAATAGCAGCACAGTAAACGGACATTCTTCTGAAACTTTCGCACCAAGTTTTGTTCGCATGAACACAGGAAAGGGCGCAAGGCTTGTGTCCAAACCTCACCTGCAGCAGGCACAGCACTGCCGCGACGCGGGCAAGGGTCCGGGCCATTTTGCCTCGGGGAAGTCCACTCGGGTGAATGACGACACACCCAAACGGTATCAGCATTATAAGCGCCTTCCAAGTGCGGCGCTGCAATGAGTAGCAAATTTGCTCACCGGTCACGTGGCCGTTTCTCGATAAAACGCGTCGCCTTCACAGTTTACGCAGATGGCAGTCGAATGTCAACACGGCCTGTCAACTCATGCCTGGGAGCCGCTGTGCAACGCAACACACTTGACACCTTGCGGAACATGTGTTCGACAGCCTGCGAAGACTCTGACTCGTCGACTTTCTTTGCAGTAAAAATCATTAGTTTGTAATTTTCGACCCAAGTGTTCGTAACGTGTTTGCATAATTAACTCTTGCAATTGCGTTGATCGCAATATTACGAAATCAGTTAGTAATACAAGGTAGGTGTACGTCACGCCGTATCTTGGCGAAATAGGCCCCGCGATGCTGGGCAAGTTACACAACCTCCAAGCAGGGGGTGGCAATGGCCAAGGAAGCGCGTCGACCCATGCTCGAGCGAGGCACAGCGGTTACGCTCTTCTTCAAGATTATGAAAATTACGCCGGTATTAGCAAAACGCTTTGCACTGATCAAAAAAGAATGAAATTCACATACGGTGTCCAAGCGTTCTTTAAGAGCTCACACAACTCAACTTCTTCATTAAATTTGCCAATGAGTCTCATTTAGATGCTCCCTTTCAGGGAATCTGTCTGCAGCAATATCGATGATTTCCTCAATAATCTGCTTGGCCTTGGGGCAGTCGTTGCCGTTTCATCATGTCCTTGTATTTTTCGGGACTGATCTCTTCTGGGACCTGTTTACGTACACTTTGTTCGCAGTGGGTTTCGAATGACACTGAATCCTTGTGACACATTCAAATACCGGTCCGCTCTCCTTGTGCTTCGCGAGAGTTTGTGTGGTTGTCAGAAGGAGCTCACCGCTGAAACGACCAGATATTGTTTTCCTTTGCCCAGGTTTGTATATCCACTGTAAATGCAAAGGCAATACTTTTAGTACCTTTTTTGGCGATACAATTGAGTATCGCCAAAAAGCGGCCTTACGGAATAGTATTGCCTTAGGGGCAAACCAGGGCCAATAGACCGGCTCAAATTTCCCGAAGGTTCGAAATGTCGATGCGCGGAAACGGAATTCGGTTCCTTTCCGGATTCTAAGACTCTGGGAATTTTTCGGGATTTTTGAGGTCACCGGAAGTGGTCCCGCACGGCAGGGTAAGTTAGGCGCACTGCTTATTGATAGACCAGCAGTAAAGCGGCCTTCATATTCGTTTTACGGGCATATTCCATGAAACAAAAGTTGTCAGAAATGGTCAAATTAATAAAAATAAGTGATGTCTGATTTCGGAAACTCAAAATTTGCAATCTGGGTGCCTACCTGTAAGGGGCAACTGGCGTCTATTTTCGCACTGAGCCCCAAAATAAAGGGTATCAGGACGGAAAACGTTTTGAAAATCGATTTGGCCCTTCTGGTGGTGCTATTTTGAGTGCCTAATCCCCGCCCGGTCTAACGGATTAATTGGAGGCCTTTAATGAGTATTGTCTTGTTTACGTTTGGGGGCGCGGATTGTGGTGAAGTCTGGTTACTTCTCGTTTTACTCGGTGATTTGCGAAGATCCAATCCCTGACACAGCAATAGCGCGGAAACTAGAACCGCGCCAAAGCCATGCGGCGAAGGGCTGGAGCGCGATGATCCGGTGCACTGCGAGGAAAGTCTACATGAGACCGAAGGCAAGACTGTTAGTTTTTAAGAGTTGGTTGGGAAAATAACGTAAGTGTCGTTTCATGTTAAAGCTAGTATAAATCTATTGGTGCCATTCATATAAGAACATTTCTAAACCTGGGAGTGAGGAGCGAGCCCAGAAACAGTCTGCCTCACTTAAATTTGAACTGGCATATACGTAGAGTAACGCGGCAAGCGAGTTTTTACGACGTTTTTGACGAGAAGTGTACGCATGACGAAAAGCTCGTCCTATTCCGAATCTGCTTAGCTAAGTCAACGGTCTACTTAATACGCACTCTTCGGCGTGCACCCACAAGCGCACTCCCACGGGCGTGTAGTACTCAATTTAACACACTTACAGTAGAATGTACTCAGTTGTGCCCGGGGAGTATACTCAAATGAGTGCACGCTCGTGACGATCAATTTATTGGTCACAAAAGGTTCCGAGTAGGATGAATCTCTAAGACTAAAGTAAGCACTTGCGAAATGAGTTTCAACCGGGTCCATGCGAATGTGCGTTGGTGAAGCAAAGTAATCAAATCGCTAACTTTCATCGCACGCACAACATTTCAGTAAAGATCGGTTGGAGGTAGGGAAAAGTAAATCACAATGAAAAAGTTCTTGTTCAGAATAACATTTCAGATTAGACAGGCTAAAGGCCTGTCCATCTGGTGTTCTCTTTTACGTTCTCGTGCTTTTAACCTTCTCGACTGAATCTTCGGAAACTACCGAAAAAGTTAAAGAAAATGAGTTTAGCCACGAAACGGGCGCCCAAACGTAAACAAGACAATACTCATTCAAGGCCTCCAATTAATCCGTTAGACCGGGCGGGGATTAGGCACTCAAAATAGCACCACCAGAAGGGCCAAATCGATTTTCAAAAAGTTTTCCGTCCTGATACACTTCATTTTGGGGCTCAGTGCGAAAATTGGCGCCAGTTGCCCCTTACAGATAGGCACCCAGATTGCAAATTTCGAGTTTTCGAAATCAGACATAACTTATTTTTATTAATTTGACCATTTCTGACAATTTTTGTTTCATGGAATATGCCCGTAAAATGAATATGAAGGCCGCTTTACTGCTGGTCTATCAATAAGCAGTGCGCCTAACTTACCCTGCCGTGCGGGACCACTTCCGGTGACCTCAAAAATCCCAAAAAATTCCTAGAGTCTTAGAATCCGGAAAGGAACCGAATTCCGTTTCCGCGCATCGACATTTCGAACCTTCGGGAAATTTGAGCCGGTCTACAGGGCCAATCAGCAGAGCCCAAAATGGACCATCGACGATTTGGCCCATTTTTGGCTCAAATGTTACCTACCCATAGGTAAACATCAGGGTAAAATTTCAGCCACCTAGGTGTCGTTTCATAGGAGTTATGGGCAATCTTAGTTTTTGACTTTTTTTCTTAAGTGGTTTTTGACCAAATTGCTACATTTTCCAAAAATCCCTCTCAAGTCTACAGTTTTACCCCTAGTTGGCTGAAAACTCTTAATCCAACGTAAAATTGCATGAGGAATTCGATTTCAGGGCCCAAACGGAGCCCTGGGCAGTCTATCATAGAGAAAAACGCCAATTTTGACGAAAAATCACTTTTTTTAAGGTTTTACGTCGGTGCGTTTTAAAGCTACACCCGAATCCAAACTTGGTCAACTCTATGCGGGAAATCGTACCTCATACCACCACCTAAAATAGCACGGCTCGACATTTGGGTGGTATGGGTATGGTTTGGGCGCTGCAGCCTTGGGAACTTTTAAATTATGAAAAACTAGCAAATTCCCCCTTACGTCGAGGTCAACCCTCATGCATTGGCTGTTTCGGGTTCAACTGAGGCCCCGCGGTAATATTTAAGTTAGAAAGGTCCTTCTTACCCCTCACTACCATCACTGACCCTCTGAGAAGCGCACTGAGGTCACTTTTGGGTCCATGGCTGCAGCCAAAATGACAGAATTGATGAAACGCTTGAAGGGTAGGCAACTTATCCTACGCGCCATGCGGGGGGCTGTTCTGGTCTAATAAAACATGTAGTCTAACATCTGCTTCTTTTATTTTGAAGAGGGTAATGATCACAATTTTGACAAATTTGGCAGTTAGATAAAATACTAAGCTAGGAACAAAACTTGGCTCATTATACATTGAACTAATATCGTAAATTGCTGATCATTACACTAAACTAAGAACACAACTTTGTTTAACCCATGGGAACCAGTCCAGACGACCATCCGTGAACACCGTTTCCGGACAAATCCGATTTTCCGATTTTGCCTCACAGAATTGTCACGATCATGAGACACGTTGTTTTGGAACAGCCTCTACGAAAGACGCAAGTTACTTTCGAACGGACCTCGTTCGATGAATTTGGTACGGGAACATGATTCCCGGACGGTCGTCAGAGACATGTCCAGTCCGGCAACACCGTTCCCGTACGTAAAAGCGGCCCAGCAAGCTAAATGAGGGTATTTTCGGAATCAGCGGATCGAGCCCAGGCCATTCGCACACTTTTCGACTTGGTTTGAGCTGTTACAACCAACTCGATTTTGACACGGCCCGATTCTGCTACACGTCAAGAAGGCCGTGTGGAAATCGGATTGGTTGTAACAGCTCAAAACAGGTCAAAAAGTGTGCGAATGGCCTGGGGTCCCTCCGCTGATTCCGAAAATACCCTCATTTAGCTTGCTGGGCCGCTTTTACGTACGGGTGTTCCCGAACTGGACATGTCTCGGAGGACCGTCCGGGTACACGGTTCCCGGACTCAAAAACGGCCATACAAGCTTCAAACTGAGACTTTTTGCGTTTTCTTCCTTATTTTCGGAAAATAAAGTGATTTTGGTACTCATTTTGACTGAGAACCGTGTTTCCGTACTGCGTTCCCGCATCTTATGTCGTTCGGCGTCCACACGGGAACCCCGTACCCGCGTGAATGGGCATGGCCCTCGCGACCGTCCGGGCACGGGGTTCCCAGATTTTTCTTCGGCTGGTTGGTTTTGTTATTGCATGATTCGTGCTTATATCAAGTCGCGAGGTCTGAGAGATGCATGGTTTGGTCAAAGCAGACTCCGGTCCTGAGCAGAAGTTTGCCCAAAACGAGTCCGGTCGTGAACGTGTTAAGCAAAGTTGTGTTCTTAGTTTAGTGTAATGATCAGCAATTTACGATATTAGTTCAATGTATAATGAGCCAAGTTTTGTTCCTAGCTTAGTATTTTATCTAACTGCCAAATTTGTCAAAATTGTGATCATTACCCTCTTCAAAATAAAAGAAGCAGATGTTAGACTACATGTTTTATTAGACCAGAACAGCCCCCCGCATGGCGCGTAGGATAAGTTGCCTACCCTTCAAGCGTTTCATCAATTCTGTCATTTTGGCTGC